AAACTCTGCCAGTACACGCATCTACTCAGTTGCATACAGCCTTTGCCATGGTGGGGCCGTTACCAGGACATGGCTCAGTCTGTGGCATCTACTCCTGGCTATGTTAGTTGCAGGGCAGCCTCCAGCCCCGTGGCGTGGGATTGTGATTGGGGCGGTTGCACTGTTATCTGCAGGGATCTTGTGGTTTGTGCTTTCCAGGTGAGTATGAGGCGGACGGGTGCATCAGGGCAATGGGCAATGTCAGTCTCTTACTCTGGACTCCCTGTTTCCTTTCCAGGAAACGGAAGTCTTTGCCCAGCAAAGCTAAGGAGGATAATCAAAAAGGTAGGCCATTGTGATTTCCTGAACCAGCATCACAGAAAGGGCTGTAGGGCTGGGTGGCAACTGGGAGGAGTGCAGAAATGTCACAGGAGAGCCAGACCCTCTGGAGAAACATTTGCTTATCCTTGTCACTGACTCATCTCCCCATTCGTCCCATCCCTGTAGTGCTGGGGATAATCAGGGTGTCTGCCTGCTAAGCTCCACACATAGCAGGCTTCAACTCCAGGCAGTGCTCCCAGCCTGGAGTGGCAGTGGCAACCAAAGACACCTATCCCTGTGGTGACCCATGGCTCAGCCTTTGTGGGACCTGAGGCCATGTCATCCCCCTAAGGGAGATGCTGGGAGAGGTCTCAGGATTGGGCTGAAGGATGGCTGCTTTCACCTGGGCACTGGAGGGGACCTCTGGGGACCTGTGGTTGGGCACAGCTGGGAGGAAGATGCTGGGCTGTGGCAGGCACTGTCCTGTGCTCCAGCCTGTCTCAGACAGTCGTGTGTGCAGGAAGCCATGGCGGTGTGCATCTGAGGACATGCAGCAGCCTCTGCCCTGAGTGCCCTTGTTCTCCACAGGTAATGGTGGCCAGGCTGGAGATCAGTCACTCCAGCCCCTGCCCACGGCTACAGGAGACATTCAGAGCAATGAGGGAGAGGACAAGATGGGGAGGATGACCCCAGCTCAGTGCTGATGGCTGCTGTCCTGGCAGCTGGCTCTACAGTGACTGTGACCAGCACTGTGGGTCCCATCCAGTTCAGCAGAGCAAGCAGGAAACAGGAGGCAAATGACAGCTGTGTTTTTTCTTTCCTTACTCCCTTCACCTCCCAGCTTTCACTTACTGCTGTTTTAAGGCCTTTGAATGTGACTTTCTGTAGTTCCTTTTTTTTTAGGCTTGGCTTTCATATTTGTTTTCCTGGAAGCAGGAACTGTACAGTGTATTTCTCAGTCCCTCACTCACATGGGCTCAGGCTGAAGGATGGTCACTGTTCTTGCCATATCCTGGATTCCCACTGTTCTTGCCATATCCTGGATTCCCAACCTCTCTCCCCACTCTCTCTGTTGATATTCAGCCAAACCTAGGGCTCTGCTGGAGCGTGGCCTTACTGGTCTCCTTTTGTGAACCTGCATGAACAACCAATAAAGGTTTCGAGGGGACTGCCCGCCCTAGTACAGCTCCTGCCTTATCGTCTCATTGCCCTTGTGGGGTCACAGCCCCTTGCAGGGAGCTAACCGTGCCTCGTTTTGGGGAGGCTGTGATGGGTGCACTTAACCCCCCTTAACCAAACTAGCAGCAGGTCGATACAGGCTTCAAAGGAGGCAAAGGCCTGAGCCATAGCTGGGCCAAGAACTTCTCTAGGCAGCGCATGAAGGAGCAGAGTGAACAAACGCCGTTGTGGGTACAAGGAGTCTCATGCAAATCTCTCCCATTGTATGCAGTTTGACTACAAGCCAACCATTTTATCCTGTATATATGATCAAGTAGTGTCCCTCAGGAGCCTGTACGGGGACCTGTGTGGTTTAATCTCTTCATCAGTGACAGTGATGCGGGGATTGAGTACACCTTCAGCAAGTCTGCAGATAACACCAAGCTGACTGGTGTGTTTGACAGGCCTGAGGGATGGGATGCCATCCAGAGGGACCCCGACAAGGCATGTGTGAACCTCATGGCCAACAAGGCCCAGTGCAAGGCTCTATGCTTAGGTTGGGACAATCCCAAGCACAAATACAGGCTGGGGGATGAAGGGCTTGAGACAAGCCTTGTGGAGAAGGACTTGGAGATACTGATGGATGAAGAGCTAGACGTGAGCCAGCAATGTGCACTCGCAGCCCAGGAAGCCAACTGTATCCTAGGCTGCGTGAAGAAAAGTGTTAAGGGAGTGTTCAGGAGAAGAGTAGGTTGAGGGAGGTGATTCTGCTTTTCTTTGCTCTGCTGAGACCCCGCCTGCAGTGCTGTGTCCAGATCTGTAGTCCTCAGCACAGGAAAGACACAGCCCTGTTGGAGCCGGTCCAGAGGAGGCCACAAAAATGATCCTGGGGCTGAAACACTTCTATTATGAAGAAAGGCTGAGAGAGTTGTGGTTGTTCAACCTGCAGAAGACAAGGGAGATACTTTATTGTGGCCTTTCAGTACTTAAAGTAGACCAATATAGAAGCCAGGGACAGACTTTATCAGGGCCTGCTGTGACAGGACAAGGGGTGATGGTTTTAAACTAAAACAAGGGACATTCAGATTAAATAGAAGGAAGAAATTTTTTATGCTGTGGATGGTGAGACACTGGCTCAGGTTGCCCAGGGAGGTGGTAGAAGCCCTTTCCTGCAAGCATGCCAGGTCAGGTTGGATGGGGTTCTGAGTAACCTGCTCTAGTTGATGTCCCTCTTCACTGCCAGGCATTGGTGATGACCTTTAAAGGTCCCTTCCAACCCAAAGCATTCTATGATTCTATGGAGCTACCTTTGAGCTCTCCCTGCTAGGCAGCATGGCTGCACGACCATGATCTCCAGCTACAAGATCTGCAACCAGCAGCAGACGGGTGGATGAGCCCAGTTTAAACTCTCCTGGGATGGCAACTGGTCTCCATGGCAGGCAGCTCTCCACTAGAGCAGGGGCACCTCTCAATATTAAGAGACATTTGTTGTTTACCTTAAATAAATCAGTTTTAAACACAATGAATCACTTAGAGTTACCACGTGTGATTTAGTATACTGGTTCCTCATCTTTACTTAGCATGAATAGCTTGATCTGCTGAAGCCTTAGGCCACAACCTGTCAATTGCCACTTAGATACTTGCTAAATGGTATAAAGGTTAATTCCAAATCGATTCTAACTCCATTTTCCCTTTTATATTTCCCCTGTGCACTAAGTAATAGAGTGAACTTTGCCATCAAACTCTGTTAGTTGTACTTTTACAAATTGTTTAAGTGATCTAAAACATGCATCTGTGACAGAGGTCATGACCCCATGCCCCTGAATGATGCTTGACAGCCCTTCTGATCCCCAGGGCTGCGCTGAGCAGTTCTCAGTGAGTTTGGATGGGGGTGTATGGTGGGAATCAGTGAAAGATGATGTCCCTCAATACACGTCTTGGGCAGGAGTGTGTTCTGTGCCTATGCTGTGGCCAGAGCTGAAGGACCTGTGTGCTCTCAGTTCCTCTGCAGCCCCTTCCAGGTCAAACCTGGAAGAAAAGTGAAGATTGAGGTCACTACCACCATGGCCAGCACAGCTTTTATTGGTGAGGCAAACAACAGAGCCATGGGCCAGTCCTGGCTCTCAGGCCTCTTGCCCTTGAGCAGCAAAGGCAGAACCAGCTTCTGTGGAGCAGCAGCCCCTGCTGGAACCACATACACATTGAGCAGCTACAATCTGGGATTGTCATGGTGCAGCCAGACAGGATGGTGAGGCAGTCTCTGTGGAGCTGGTAGGTTTGTGGAATCTGGATCTGCATCAGGAAGATGGAGCTCCAGGAAGGGATTGTGAGAGATGGAAAGGATCAGGTTAGCTCTACAGGACTGAGGATTGTCCCTCCCTTGGCTCTTGTTGGCCTCAGGCTTCATGCTTCTCCCAAAGCAGGACAGATAGCCTGTGCCTCTGAGCCCTGTGGGTCTTCGAGTGGTTTGATGGTCCCCTGGCACAACACATTTGGGTGTTGGTGGATCTACCCCATTTTCCGTGGGGCTGCCTGAAGGGACAAGAGAGCCTGGAGGGGACAGTGGGTTCTCTTCATCCCTGGAACAGACAGGTCAAGTCCTATGTGCCTCTGCTCTGGTCTGCATACTCGGGCTGTGATTCCAGGTAAGTTCCTGTGCAAACTCTGGTCAAAGAGTCAGGCTCCACCTTGAAAGCCTGACCACAATTTGGAGACAGTCCAGCCTGTGCTCTCCAGGCAGAGAGGATGCTTGGGGTGGCTTTTCAGGGGAGTAAAGCATCTTGGGGCTGTGCACACCCATCTCCTCTTGTTTCCACTGTTGCTGATGGAGGGTTCAAGAGAGTCAAAGTCCTGGCCAGAGATGGGTTGTGGCCATGCCTCTACTTGAAGTTCCCGTAGGTTTCAAATGAATTCAGGTAACAGAGGGCTAGTTGGTAGCAGAGCCCATACTGCTCCTGTGGACAGAAAAAGCACGTGAGAACCTGGTACACCAACACCTGCAGTGGAAGGCCAGCCCTCATTGCCAACAGCTTCCTCCACAAGCCAGGAGTAGGTGCAGCCCACTCGCCTTCTCCCATTTACAGCCCAGTTTCCCCCGCAGAGGGATCACAGGCATGTGCTCCAGCAGCTGAGGGCTGGGCTACCCCAGCACACTGGTCTGGGGACCAGAGCCGGTCTCCAGGGTTCCAAGCGTCTCCTGCTCACTCCCATCTGGGTTGCTCACCCGTGGTGGCCTCTAGCGCCCAGACTCGGTAGTGAGGCACCTGCCAGTGCAGCCACCCACTGAGAGCAGGCCAGGTGGGCCAGAAAGGGGCAACTCAGCCATCAGGACACTTTGGTGCCCATGCATCCCTGCTTGAGGGACTGGGTGTGTCCCAGCGGCAGACAGCGGGCTATGGCTATGGCTCTTGGTCCGGTGTTGCCATCCTGGCTGGGCTTGAACTCAGCACCTACCACATCTTTAATCATCTGTCTCCGCCGCCTCTTCAGCATCCGCACAGCTTGGGATACATTCACCAGCCCCTCGCTTTGGATCTGCTCACAGAGGAAACTAGCAGCACAGAAGATCCCACTCCGGCTGGCACCGTCCCTGTGAAGGAGAGCAAGGGGAGGATCATTTGCTCTGGGACAGCTGAGCATCAGAGGTGTCCCACTAGACAGACATGCAGGCTCTCATGATGATCTTGCCACAGATCCTGCACCCACCCAGCCTCCACAGCAAAGCTTTTTTCCCTTAACACAGCTGAACTCATGTCCAGTTCACGTCCAAGACGGAGCTGTGACCCAAGTTCAGTGATTCAGCATGGGCTGAGCCAGGTCTGTGCCACGGCTGCTCCTCCGAGAGATCTCGCTCACCAGCAGGTGACGAGGATATGTCCACCTTGGCTCTGCCGATGGCGTGTCTCCACCTTCCCTAGCAGGCTGATGATGGTGGCAGGGTGTGGGGGAAGATGCTGCTGAATGGGCCAGTCCTTCAGCTGCCATAACCGGACTTCCAGTGCAGACTTCTTGGGCTAGTGGGGAAGAAAAACAGTGGGTTGGACAGAGAAGAAACCCATTGGTTTCACAGAAGGAAGCGAGGGACAGTGTATGTCAGTCCTGTCTCAGCCACGCATGCTAGATCAAGGATAGCAGCTCGACAGTGGCATAGCCCAGCCCAGACTTTGCCCTTCTCTGTCGAATGCTCTGAGACCAGCAGAAGGACAGAGCACAAGATAATAGCTGAGCACCAGGTGCAGCTCAGACTCATGCCAGTCCAGTGTGCAGCTACCTGTAATAGGTGTCTCCATCCACTAACCACCACCAAGATGCACAAACTATCCCATCTGCTGTCCTCCAAGGTAGAAAGGTACACAAATGTATTTGCCTTGTTCCTCTGCCGGCAACCTCACTCTCTTGGGACTAACCTCTCTCTCAAGGTGAAAGGTGGTCCTGCTCTAGCCAGTGCCCTTCCAGGACCCATGAGATTCCTCTGGCCATTATGGCTTTTTCCATTACTAGCTGCTTTTTT